GCGAACATGGGCTGCATCATTACTACGATGGTACGATAAATATCGTTTGAAAGATGTTGAAACAGGTTTTTCTGATAGAATGACACGTCGAGAACATGCTTGATATGAGTTTGCAGCTCCTTTCGATAAGTCTCTTGATAGATTAGTAAGATGACGAGCGTGTCGTGGAGCGGATCCAAGATTAGAAGAGGAGAATCTCGCTAGTGTGCTCATTTAGAAAGCTCAGATAGCTTTTCGCAAGGTCGGCGAAGAAGGGCCGTGGTGTTGTGGTTCAAGGTGCAATTCGACTCAAACTTCGACCTCACCGGCATGAAGCAAGGAAAGAAGGGAATACGTAGCCGCGTGAGATGAAATTCCGTATTTCTCAGTTTATTTGATGATCCTATTCATTGATAGCGAGCAAAAGGGATGAATGTTGGTAGTCCTCCACATGCTAATTACGACAAGTTAAAACAACTGGCGTTCATGACTGCTCAGCTGCACCCTTTTTCTTCTTATCTTCCACGCAAACGATATTGTCCTCCGGAACGCCTTTGAGAACCCCTACGTTTCCCTCCAGCATTTCCACAATCTCGTCAGTAACATCGCCTTGCACGACAATCTCATCCAATCCTTGGGGATTTTTGGACACGGAAGCACCAGTCGCAAATTTGGTTGCAAACTGCTTAGACGCTTTTTTGAGGTCGATACCTGTTGAGAGTATGGGATGCGACCGAACCGCGGGGAGTATTTAAGTTAGTCTCTATTACGATCAAGTTATAGACAGGGCGATAAAACTGACCAAATGCTTCCAAGCCATGGACAGCTGTGACATATTTCTTTTTGTTTCGTTCGATTCGCTTGATCGTCACTCTGCTAGCTTGCTTCTTCTTCGCTTCAGCATCCGCTTTTGCCTCTGCTTTCTTCTCCTTTTTGGCAGTATCTTGCTCCAATTTAGATTGTGCTTCCACGGACAAGGTGCCAACCTTCTTGACGAGAGCGTCTAGTGGATTTAACAGTAAGATTGAAATAGATGTCGTATAATGAGCTCAATAAGATAATTACCTTCACCATAAAATCTCTCAAATAAAGCTGGATCCTTCTCTTCTAGCCACGCCTTGCATTTGGTGAGGTGCGACCCAAATTCACAGTACTCAGGCGGAAATCCGCACACTAAGGATCATCCACCAGGTTGAAATGCACCAGAGAGTTGAATCGAGTGATATATATAGCCAGTGTTCACTTGGATTAGATATTTGAGTCGCTTGATTGCTATACAAGAAGGCGAACCTTCACAATATAAAACAGTAAGAGGGTATATAGAGCCCTCTGTGTCTCCTGATGGACCAGCGGCACCAGATGCGGATGTTTCAGCCATAAAGGTCGAGTTGGTAGTGGCGAGATTCCTTTGAATGGGTGGCAGCTAGGAAGACGTACTTACCTCTTTTCAGCCGGCCATTCCCCCGCCGTGAATTTCTAAAATCTATTGGAGGGTTATCGTGATTATATCTAGATATTAACGCGAAGTGAACGTAAATAAATGAAAGCGGGCCTGTCAGAATCCTACGGAGATTGAGCCGTAGGTGAAATTAAGAAAAGATCAGCATAGATATTATGCTCATTCCAACCTCTGATAACTTATATCTATGATATGATGCTATGTTACTTCTTTGACATTTCCTTCGTCGAATCAGGCTTTCGTATCTCGCCATACCAAAAGTGATTCATGTAGCGGGATCTGAACAGGTTTCTAACGAGTTATGAGGTTTTTTACGTGGATATACCCTGCAATGTATACAAATGAATACGTTCAGACATAAATAGCTTTCTTCGTTAAACTGCCTACGCACTGAGTGGACCTATTAGATAACAAAATCCATCAATAATACTACGATGATAGGGATAAGACGAACCTGAGAACATATCCACGATTAGGCATGTCCCGCCTACAAAGGGCTGAGGCGGGCGCGGCAGGTGGCAGCACGGCTGAATAATTTAAGCCCTGACCCTTCCCCAGGCGCTTTCCTCACATGTCTCCCTCTGAATCCCTCACATTGGTGCAGAGGGTATTGGTTGACGACTCAAGTATTATTCAGAGACAGCCGCAACGAATTAACGATGATATTCTGATTAGAATATTCCTACACGTAATGATAGAGGATTGGAGTCGAGTCAGGAAGGCGAAAAAGTGTGCTTATCTCGTTCGGTGCACGCACGTATGTCGATATTGGCGTACAATAGCTCTCAATTCCCCTGTTTTATGGCAGTTTATTCCAATCTGGCTAACCTATACAGCCAGACGAGAGGAAAGTTGGTTTGCAGAGCTCAGCGCTAGATATGAGCGATCAAGAGAATCAAAGGAGCTCTTCATACTTATCAGGAAAGCACCAGACGCTTGTTTCAGTTTAGGATTTGGCAATATTTTCAGCACAATAATCCAGCCAAATCTTCATCGGTATCGAGAGATCGTCATTCTACACGACGACGAGACGATATATAGACTTTTGGAGTATGGAAGTGCCCTTGAAGTCCTAAAGGTGCTTTCGGTCCATGTAGTCAGAGGGAAACTTCCAATGGCAGAGGGGAGCACTCAATTTCGTCTTACGAGGGATCATTCTCCTCCCCTTCTTGAGGACTTTTCCATCTATAGTCGATCCTCTCGATTCAAAGTCGACCCTTCCTTTTTCGGATCTAAGCTCAAGAAGCTCTGCCTTCGAGATGATTATGCAACGTTGTCTGAAGCTCATCAAATACTTTCAGGGATTGCATCCACCATCGAAGATCTCAGAGTAGGAATCTCGCTTCCTTCCCAGCATCCGCCACCATCTCTTGATCCTCTGTACTTTCCAAAATTGAACAGTCTTTCTGTGACAAGTTTCCCTACATTCTTGGACGAAGGCGTTCCAAGGTTCTCTTCGTTCGAAGTGTTCGGCAACACAAGCGATGCCCCGCTTCGCCTTCCCTCTCTCAGGAACTGTGTCGTTTCAACTACTGCAGAGTTTCCCCCTCAGATACAGAGGGATCTAATTACCCAAGCGATCATTAAATTCATAAAAAGCCTGCCTACCTCGCTTCCTCTCTTACAATTGACGTCCATACCTCCTGGAGGATCACCCTATATCTGGTCACACCTCCTGAGCGAGTTATCATCCACCAATAATGGAAATGACTCTCGCCCCACTTTTATTCTCCCAAAACTACTGTCCGTAGCATTTCACGGCTGTCCTGGCCTTTTGGATGCAGATGTTCGTCATCTCATCGCGTCAAGAGAAAAAGGACACTCTATGGACCCTCCAGCCTGTAACCGATTGATAGAGATAAAAATGTACTTTTGTGAAGGGCATTTTCCTTATGTTTGTTATAATGGGAAAGTTTCATCATGCCATCCCACAACTCGCACAGAAGAACCTTGAATGAAACTTTGTACGATAGTGATGTTCATATCCTTCAATATATCTCCCTACTCTTGTCGGGTTGTCCCGATTTGTAAGCGTCCGAATGAATACTCGCAGACGCCCCGATTAGGCGTAACGCCGAATACGGGCACTTGCTCAGAGCGATTTTAGTGGTATGATCGATATAGGAATTAATATATCTGGTCATGTCAATCCAAACTGTACGACTCAGTAAGACACGCCAAGGACACCCATCGTTTCTTGGTGGCAGGCGGAGGACACGCCTGTGGCGCACTTCCTAAAGCGCTGCGTCGATGCCTCTCTCCTCATCAAAATTACTGGCCTGGGCACAAAAAAGGCGGAGGAGTAAGGCTTTTGAGACGCTGTCTCAAGCCAAACTCCATCAGATGCAGGAGGAACCGACTGTCATACAGCCCGCGCTCATCAACGATGACATTCTCATTAAAATTCTGCACCATCTCGTGTTCGATGATCTGCATATGGCTCGACATGGAAAACAACAGCTATTTCTCCTACACTGTACTCACGTATGCCGCTATTGGCGTCATGTAGCGATTAATACACCTTCACTATGGGTGTTTGTCCCACTAGTCCATGCCAGTCAGCAACGCCACAAGGAAGATCATACACAAAAGATGCTACAGATGCGACTTGCGAGGGCAGGTCCTTCTGCAGACCTCTTCATTTTGATGAGATACACTCCCTCTACCGACAACATCCAAAATAGGGGTAAGTTCCTTAATCTCTTCGACCGAGAAATACAGCCAAATTTGCACCGTTGTCGGGAGATTGAAATCTTCCACGACTCGGCGGTCATCCACAAATTACTCGTTCAGAACGCCAAAGATCTTCAAACCATCCGGACTTTATTCATTCATTCTAAGCGGGGGTCGAAATCCTTGCGCAACGAAAACCAAAAGTTGTATTTGAATCATGAATGTGCAATATCCAGTCTCCAAGTCTTTCATCTTCATAATAAAACACGCAATTTGGAAGTCGAGGCATCCTTCTTTCCCCGCACCCTTCGATCATTGTGCCTTCGGAGCCACTTCACTACTCTATCCCAAGTCCATGACGTCCTCAAAGCAGTTTCTCCGACGTTAGAAAGTCTCTCCCTAGCTGTCACATATGCAAAAGACCAAGAGGGAGCCCTACCTCCCATCACTTTTCCCGTATTGTCCTACATTGCCATCTGTGGTACCGAAAGATATGGCACTCCACCACGTCTTTGCTCCTCTTTTGAGGTATTTGGCACTGTGGAAGGCGATGCATCACTCCAATTTCCTTCGTTATCGAGCTGTATGATTACCATTGTCCCCCTGGATGCGCAGATGCAGGAAGACGGGTTTCAGCGTACGCTTGATTTCTTGTGTCAGCTTCCCGGGTCGATCCATACATTACAATTCCAGACTTGGTCGATGAAGGACCCTTCTCGAATGTGGGACCGCTTCTTGGACGCGCTCACGATCGTAGATATGGAGAACTGGGGCGGTGGAAGAACAGTGCTCTTTAGTAAATTATACAGAGTGTACTTTTACGAATGTCATGGGATCACTGATGAGGCGATCCGACGATTCATGGCGAGCAGGTTATCAGGCGCTCAAGCGGCCCCACCCGTATGTGGGCGCATAGCTCAAGTCAAAGCTTATGATTGTAAAGGTTTCCATCCCTTCGTCTGTTACAGTGGGCCTACGGCGGAGACTATATGACCTAACGTATTGTACGATATGCACACCCTTGGCTGTTTCATACTATACATGTATTATATGTGACACGGGTTATCAACCTACATTCTCCGGGTAAATATTTGAGTGAGATGAGAAGCGGAGATCAGAGAACCCAGCTCTTGACGAGTTCACCGACTCGTGCAACGAACGCGTCATATTGGAGGTTTTGGTTTCGGATGAACAAGCCACAATGAGCGGCAACTTCATCTTCCACACCTTCGATCCGTACTTTGAGCCAGCGTCTTCGATTACCACCGTGGTATTTGCCAGGCAGAGTGATGAAATGGTATGCCGCATTGGGATTAGGAGGGGTAGGTGGGCGCGACGATGTTTTACTGAGGGCAGGAGAGGCAAGGGCCAACTGAGACGATGATTTACTGAGAGCAGGAGATGCCACAAGCGAGTGCGAGGATGCTTTGCTAAGAGGTGGAGAAGCTGGCGCCGAGTGCATAGGGGAGTGTGGAGATGATTTACTTCCATCTTCCGTACGGCTATCAGCAACGAGCACCGTTTCTTGAGCCGTTCGGTACGAGTTCATAGACCTTGCATCATCTTCGTCGTCGCTCTCTTCGATGACGACTTGTGGTGGGGCTAGATACTCGGATGGGGCATTCGGTTCCTTTGCTTGACTCGTTTCGGCTTGCTCTCCATCTTCTTCCTTCTTTTGCTTTTTCAACTTGCTCTTCTCCTTTTCTGCTGCTGCTTTTTCCTTACGTTCAACCTCTTCTTTCTTTCTCTTTTCCTTCTCTATTGCCTCAGCCGCCTTCTTCCTCTCCTTTTCCTGTGCCTCCTCCTCTTTCCGTCTTCGTTTCTCATCCTCTTGCTCTTTCTTTATCCTCTGCTTCTGCTCCTGTTCAGCGGCCTTGGCGGTTTCCTTCTCTTTCCTCTTGGCCTCTTTCTGGGATGCCTTTCTCATCGCCATCTGAAATTCGTTCTCAAACACCGTACTTGGATTAGTCTCCCGCTTCATCTTGGCAGCCTTCTTGGGCGTGGGCGGCCTATCCATATCTCCCTCTCCATTCTCACCCCCATCCCCGCCTCCTTGATCGCTATCTACATCTTCACCCGGGGTGACCGACCAATAATTGACCCAATCACCATCCCACTTCTCCAACCTATGATAGCGGTCAATCAACTCTGCATAATCAAACATGGCGAACCCAAATTCGAAATGCTCGACGACCCAGCGCGAGACGGCTGATACAGGTGCATCCGAGTGTTTAGTCAAAAAGCGGACAAAGGGGTCGTCGGCGTGCTTTTTGAAAAATGATGTCGCGCTTGTGAGCCAGGAGGTAGCGGATGTTTTGCTGTGGGAGGAGGAGGCGGCGTCGCTCGGCGATAGCAAAGCGGAGTGGGACGGGGATTGCGGTGGACTGTTTGGTCGAGACGGTGGTAAAAGAGCGGATATTTGTTGTTCGTGAGATATGTCGGAGGTGGCCGAGGTGGGATTGGGAGACGTTGTGCCTGGTAGGCTCTGGTGTCAAAACGGGGGTAGAAAGATAGAACAGAGAGCACTCTTACCACTTGCAAAGGCATCTTGTGGTTTTACAAAGTTGACAGCATCGTTATCATTGATGTCTTGCTCGGCTGCTAGACCTTGTGCCGATGGTGCGGGGGGACGATGTGTGCCAGGCGCGTCCGTTTGACCCTTTTGCTGCATTTCCTTTTTCTCTTCATCCTCTTTCTTTTGGAATAGAGATGCGATGCCACTGATCACAACATGGGGGTGCATGCCGAGATAGGGTGTATCGAATGCGAGAAGCCCGATAATGCGGCGTGCGACAGGCCTTGAATCTGTGGCTGCTTCGGCCACAAGCAGACCTCCCATAGAGTGTCCCGCAAGGATTACGGGTCCATCTGGGATGGACTGTAGCCTACCGGAGATGTGAGCGAGTGTATTCTTGAGATCTAGTAGGTGGGGTGATCAAGAGGGGCATTTACTCACCAAGTTAGGAGATTCTTGCGTGCAAATGCAAGGGGTTTTGAAGATTTGTACGTTGGATAGACCCACGTTTGCAAACCAGGAATGGAGGGGAGAAGATAGCCGTGTAGATCAGTTGGGAAGGTCTGGAAAGTAGTGTGATCTCCTCTAAATCCGTGTACATAGACGATGTGCAGAGGTCCTCCTGGTGTATAACCCCATGAGAGAGGAAGAGACATGACGAACTTGGTCTTGGCGTGCGATGGGTTTATCAAGATGTAGGAGAGAGGATCTAGCGTGCTAGAGGCCTGGTCTCTGGAGATTTGTAGAAAGGTGAGGTATCGTAGATTCCAAGTGACTGATGGATGATGCCACAATAAATACTGCGGGATTCTCGGCAAGAGTGGTGCGAGCAGTCAGCTGGGTTAACCTTTCTGGCTGCTGAAAAGCGAGACAAGCACTCGGGTTTATAGATAACAGGTGTAAAAATAACTAGAGTTGGACGTAGGAGGTAGGTCGTTATGATATGAAGAAACGAACTGGAGGTGGCATGTTGAAATTATCGCGTTTGCGCTTCTAGTGGTGGCTGTTGAAACTCAAATTTATTAGCTCTATATACTCGATACTATAAACACCAGATGTTTATTAGAAACCTCCAGACTACGAGTTGAGCTTGTAGCGGACGTCACGTCGAATAGACTATTTTCAGGATTGTGTATTTGTAGTTTCATAATCTTGTAGATAACGACAAGAATGACTTTGTGATTAATGCCGCAGGAAACGTCGTTGTAAGAACGAGTGGTACGCGTCCAAGTGTCGCTAGGCCAAACCCACCACTTTTGTCTTTTTGGACCTGGATGCCACCTCGAGCGCGCTCTCCAGCGGGCAGAACACAACAATTCTACCCGACCCCAGATGCGGCCACATTTAGTGATCTGTTATTGTTCGAAGAGCGACTGAAGAGAAACGCGGGTGCATTGAAGAGGCGGAAAACTCGATATCAATGTATGTCTACCAAGATTTTTTCCTAGCGAGGGTTATTGACCTATTGCTAAATTACCTTTAATCGCCCATCCTATTCTGATCTCGTTCTTCAACGCTCCTCGCTACTCTTTGGGCTGGCCTCATTGCTCGGTCCGGACATCGACGTGGGCTCACAACTGGCGAAATCTATAATCTCGCGACTGGCGGTTTACACGCACTTTCCTAATTTATAACACAACCTATTCTTCATCTCGACTCTGGAATTTACTGTCTCGCCAATGGGGATATCCGAATGAACCGGTCGTTACTTTTTCGACCACCTTCCACGGCTCGGCACCCATGGACCTCCATGCTTTACCCCATCGAACGTGGATAGTCTACCTCGCCCTCCTAATCTCTACTGTCCTCATCTTCTCGTCCGATGTTCTTCTCGAAACGGATCTCGTCATCTTTCCTCTCAATACCTCCCTCTC